AATCTAAAGGGATAACGCTTGCACGTGCGTCTCGCTGAATCAACATAAAGAAGCGTGACGACGACTCGTCTGATATTACTTGTTACATTGCATTGTCGTAATTTTAATAACTATCCAATGGATACGATCAAATGTATTTCCAGTGCGTCACAATAGACACTAGATCCTAAAGAATTTAACTCTAAAGAGAAAGGTATTCATGCCATGTTCCAATAAGAGAATTAAACAGGGTAGCGCATGATCACAAAGAAAATATATATCACATAGAAAAATATATACTGTGTTAAAATATTAATTACTTGTCTCAAGTATTTCAAAAGTCCGAAAATCTATCATAAATCCATCAACCTTATTCGAAATAAATTCTGAATAATATCCTAGTAATATTAATATTTTAATCAAGACTATTAAATTAAAACAATTTTAATTTACTTATTATATAAAGTTGTTTCATCGGTGAAATTTTATAATATTCTTCAAAAGAAAGTAAATTCTTGTTTTGAATACATTACAAAAATATTCTTTGTTAAAGGCCGTTACTTAAAAAAAAAGTAAACCGAGTAATTACTTTTCTTAACAATAGAACGATTTTTCTATGTGTATCATTTAATTTATATATAAAACACATACATTTTTAACGAAATTGGTACAGAACTAATACATAATTAATTCTATTTTCCAAAATTTGAAAATTGGATAATTAAATTACATTTTATGCGCTATCCTGAAATATAAAGTAACGGATATTAAGCTATTCCCATCCTCTGGATTCTTTCGCGCGTTGCTTAAAAATGATATTCTCTGTTTAAATCTTGGTGATAGTTCCAAGCACGTCACTGAATTTCGATATAAGGTGGAGAACGCATGATTTGACAGTGCATGAGTCTGCCACCCGACCGCACTATAAAAACCTTATCGGCGATCTTCCTGCGGTTCGAGTGGGGACGCTTAATATTAATGTCTCCTCTCTCGCGGAGGTATCCCTGCATTCGAGCATACCGGGTGTTCCGGGAGAGAATCGCAATTTATTCCTGGCGCTTTTACGTGATATTGATTTCTGATTTACAATTCGTCAGAATTATCTGAACAAAATGATTTGATATTACCTTTGTTTCGATTTGCACAATAAAAAAATAAGACAATTCTAATTTAAATGTAAGTACTTTCCTCTTACTATTTTAACCTATAAATTTAATTTTCTAAACCTTATCTTTTTTACGAGCTGTGTTCTTTAAATTATCACACTGATTGTGAAAAATATTTAGCATTTATAACTATAATTGTACGGTGAAATAATTATGATTTTAGAAGCTCCATTTTTATATAATTATTACTTCATAATGTTAGTAATAATAATTATATTTAAAATTATGCTAAAGAAGTATATAGTTGGTTCAGAAAATTATTATAAATTATAATAATACAATCATTTTTCCTCTCAGTGTGCATTACTTGAAAAGTTAATTTAAAGATCTTCCTAGAAATGAAAATTGATTAGATAAGCATGTATTCATAACAAGGATCTACACGTAACTATGAAAAGAAATTCTATTGCAATTTATGTCGAATTAACGTGTCAATCACGCGGTAAGTAATCACAGCTTGACTCGTGTCAACCTTCGAACTCACTTGACCCAAAACGAAATGAAATCGGTCTTTGACGTAGCCTTGATCTTTCAACGATCTTTTATCCTTGCACTACACTGAGGATCCGCAGATATCGAGGATCGAAATCGTCATTAATTCCACATGATTCCGTATCCACCCCACCAACGGAGCCTCATGCTCCGTTCCGTTCCGGGCACCATGACTTTTACCTCTAATTGCGAGTCACCTCGCCCAGGGACTTTTCGCAAGACAGACCCGTTGCACGCAAAGGTCATCGAGTCGTTTACGAAGGAGCAAATGTTATCCTTTAGGCGCGATAACGGTCGTCATGATGAAGTGGAAATACTTGGCACGTTGTTAATCAGAGAGCCGATGCTGCATGAGAAGAGAGACCGAAATCGATATACAAAGAAATCTCAACTCCCGCGATCGGGCTCCCTTCCTACATAATCATGATTAATGTTGCTTCTTTGCCATACTCAAATTTACTTTATTCGAACGTTATAACGGGAGAGACAGTTACTTTTTAATAAATAATTCTGAATATATCATAATCCAGACATGTGATAGTAATGCTAATAATTGTATAAATTGTTTGTTATTTGATAATTAAATATTCTATTTGATCTCATCAAAATGCCATTCTTGCTGGTACGTTTGTTGAGATAACATTATAGTTATCACTATAAAAATGGTTGTAATCACTATAATTTAACTACTAATGCAACTTACAGTAATTGCAACTTTATAATTAAATTTTCAATTATATTTCCAGTCTCCAATTATAATATTTTTTAAAAATACATCTAGTTACTACTAACATTATAGTAATAATAATAATCATAATTATAGTCATAAACACTAAACATTTTTCTCTCGGTGTAAATCAATCCATATTTATATAACTGCATTGCTTAATTTCAAAGAGTAAACGACGTTCATATTAAAGTATACATTTAGTAAATAACAATAAATAACTAAATTTCAAATTTAATCGGTAAAACGGTATCTTAAGTTAAATTGTTCAATCATTCCATTTTTTTTAGTTAAATTAACAACATATTGAGTAGAAGCAATGGCAACGTATAATAATGATTAAAAGTAACTCAAACTGGATAACATTATGAATTTAACAGTGCACAATTCAATTCACACAAGTATGTAACTCGATCACCCTATATAAAATCTCGTGGCAACATATAGCAATGCCAGGTACCAACGTCTCGCATCCCCAAGTATAACGTATGAACACCACGGGCCCGAGGTAGTATAGGAGTTTAATTGGTGGTAATATGAATCCGCGTAATATAAACCGCCATCAGTCTCTCGCCGGGAGAGTGAACGAGCAAGAGAGGAGAGAGGGACCGACGGGAGGATCGGAGCGGAGGAACACGCGCGGCTCGAAACGGTGTCTCCACCTTCGTAATACCGACGGCTCTTTTTATCACTGTCGCGAGATTTGGCGCTCTTTAAACGCACCGATCGTTGATTACGCCAACGATAATTCACACGGACAGGAACCTTAGCGCGGTTAATCGAGACCTCTTATCAGACGTAAGCGAATGATCCTTTGTTATTGCTAAAGAAAGCAATAAGAGAATCTATGTAACTGTACATGTTTTATTCTTCAAGAAACGTTTAATCATTCCACTTGATAAATCCTTAACTAAATAAACTAAAGTAGTGATTAACGTTATCATTAATTACACGTTAAAGAAAATAAGCCTTATCGAATTAGTAATTATCAAAGGTTAATTATCAAAGAGCCCTCCCAAACGTGCTGTGACGTCACACTGCAACAATGAAATCACAATTATTCAATAAGATATTAATTTATTTTAAAAATGAGCAAAGGAAACAACAATTTTTTCGATGTTTTAATTGTTATGCTTTTACATAAAGGTACAAAACATGTTTTTGTACAAAGGTATAAAATCGAAAAAATTGTTCTTTTATGTGAAAAATGTTCTTTCAAGCTAAAAATGTGAAAAAAAATGATTTAAAAGTGTACATCGTGTTGATGAATCAGGAAAATGGAATTATTTTTGTCGTGAAGATTATTTCGATGTACGTATTGTATAAAATATGTTTTTTATAATCTTTAATTATAACAATTATAAAAATATTAATCATGTTTATGTAAAAATATCCAACATAATCTAAAATGTAAGCTAAAACATTGAATGTCAAATGTAAAGGTATTTTGAGAATTTGTAAAATTATTCTACATCTAAAATTATTTTAAAATTATAATTCATAATTAATAAAAAAACATATTTTCAATGTGTAAATGCCATGTTTTAAATGTTTATAATTTTAAATTAATAGAATTTATTAGAATAAACTTGTTTTTTTAATTTTCAAACATTTATTCTTTTGCAAACGTTATATGAAATTATCAACTGGCAATGAATATTTTTTAGTTAGGTTAACAAAAGTTAAACATTAACTGATAATGTATAAACTGTTCTTTCCTTTTATGTTTAATAATGTATATTAATAATGTATATACGTTAATAATGTATGTTTCAACAACTGATTATCTAATTGTTTTGCTGTTTTGTTGTTATCTATTTGTTGTTGTCTGAGTGTTATCTAATTGTTTTGCTTTAGCTTGTTTGATTACTTTATAAAATTAGAATTGTCACCTAAATTTTCAGTCGTAGATTCAAAATTCATTGTCATCTTATTGTAATAAATTTTTTTGAAGTTGCAACATTAGACTGATCTATGATAGATACATTAATTATAATATTTATTCATGCTACTTAGAATAAAATTGAAAAAAATTACCACTGTAATGATAAAAATATATTTACAAAGTTAGTTTTCCTCGAACTTCTGGAGCATTATATCACTCATTATTAACAATATACTCACAAACCATAAATAATAAAAAACAGTTATTTGTGGTAAATTCGTTGAATCGACTTTAATGAATCCTGGATCCAGTTAGATTGACATTTTATTTTCATATTCTTAGTTTATAGAAATTTTTAAGAAGAGAATTTAAGATTTCGCTTTTTCAGCGTAAGCAGACGATTGCAGACGATTTATTGCAGTGTGACGTCTCGCATTTTGTAGCCAATCAAAATTGTTCTCTCAAATCTCAAATATTAAACTTTAATTTTTTTAGTATCTATCTACTACTAAAAATTACAAATTTTATTACATAAATTTATAATAATATATATTTCCATAATAAACAAAAAAACATGTATTATTTTTTTCATGCAAACTCCCTATTAAAAATCCGATTATCATGTATCTTTTGACAAATTTTAAATCAATGTAGCTGTTCGTTTTTTGAAGCGTGATTTGTACTAAACGTTTGAATAATTTTTTAACGAGTTATTCATATCATTTCGATAAATTTGAGATGCAATGTAGACTAAAACATCTATCTTATACTTATGTTATCGCACAATTTCAACTCAACTTTTGAAAGTTAAATATCGAATTGATAATGTTAATTTGTGTAATACTGCTATTATCGAACTACTACTATGATGAAACGTAATAAATCATTCAACTTGTGGAATTACATCTCTCGGGAAAAAAAAAAAAAAAAAAAAAAAACAAGATCCTCACAAAGGTATTCAATAGAAACGCAGTACAGAGAGTGGAGGTGCACAAAATCCCGCGGGAAAGCCCGAGAGCGAGAAGTCGTTGACAAAAAAAATTACATTGCTCGCAATTCTGGAGCCGCCGAGAAGAAGGGAAGGGGTGAGGGAGATAGAGAACAAAGTTCGTTGACTTTCCAGGGACGCGACCCCAACGCGATCGGTGGAAGATAAATACCCGAGCGGCGCGGAGGAGGATTCCCGAGCGTTTTCCTCCGGGAACGAATCACCCTGCCATTCCTCAGTCCTCCCTTTCGCGCGCCCTCCCCGAGGACCCCACGCATTTTCTCTAATGTATTCACAAATCTTCGTTCTAACGCGGCGTTATCATTCTCCCAGCAGCCCCGGTCGTCTCGGGTGGTAACGGCGTGTGTGTGTGTGTGTATGTATGTGTATGTATGTGTGTGTACTCTCGCGCATATACGAGCAGCGAATACGCGAGTATGCGAGACTGGCGCGACGGGTGCCTCTTTTTTCCACCCTCCGTCGAGGGGTGGAATTCATTTCGCGGCCCAACGCCCTCGACTCCCACGAACGGCACGACCGCCGTTCGATTGCTTCGATTATCCTTACCTTATTCCTCGAAGCTCATCCCTTCAACCGTTCCCCGACCATTACCAGGAGTTTGCTTCTTTCCCTCGATCTCGTTTCGCGATGTCGAGAAGCATCCTTATACGTACGTCGCGACGACGTATTCTGTGACGTGAACTCGCTGAAAATTCACAAACATCGCTGTATATTATCAAAAATCTCGGATGGAGTTCATCTATGTTAAAGAAGTGGCTGTACTGCAAATCCAAGTATGAAATAAGTGTCTTCATATATATGTATAATTTAATTTTATAGTATAGTATAAAAATAACACTATATTACATGTTTAAATGTAACAATCCCATTTTTATATGCAGTAAAATGTGTTATTTTTATACGAAAAACTAAATCGCACGTATGTGTGTGTAAAGATATTTATTACTTGGATTGTACTGGAACGTCTTGAAATTCAAAGAAAAAAAAAGTAATTGATCGGAATTAAAGACAGTTCGTCAAAAAGTTAATACACTGATTACAATTACCATAATTTAACTATATTTACAGTTATTTAAGCCAACTATATATTTTTTGGCATAGAACTATAAATATAATTTTATTACTAACATTGTGTGTGTGTAACAGTAATAACTATAATAATGAAACTGCTAACTATAATTATTCCATTATGTAATTACAGTTGCAAATCCTTTTCTCTCAGTCTAATGTGAAAATGTTGCGTAATATTCTGTTTCAAATGTAATAAATTGTAAAACAGATATAATTGCTATACTGCGCCTGGATAAACGTAAAACTTGATTATATTCAGAATATAAATATTTTAGATGAAATAAATTTTTTGCACATCTCGTTTTTATTTTGCAAAGAGTAGTTTTCATATCTGCTGAAAAACTTTCTTGAATCTTTAAGCTAAATATACTTCGTCGCAATTTCGCTGCATGTCATATATATTTAACTTAATTAAATTCTTGAATTCAATTAAATATCCATCTTATCTACATCACAGTTGAAGTAGTTATAACATCTCTTGTATTGTTTTGCCTTGCAAAAAAAAAAGAACTATAATAAATGCTAAGCGACCATCCATTTCCATTATAATTTTAAGTCTCGGAACTCGCTCTCGACTTTTCATAAAACTTTACGTCTCCGGTTACGTACGTCGTCGGGGCACGAAGGCGTACGTATTCATAATCGACTTGCCGCGGGTATATGCGGGATATTTCGAGGGTGGAGATAGAAATATATATTCCGACAGGACACCGCACCAGTACCGGGCAAGAGATGGGGGAGTTAAATTCGCGTCGTCATTCCGGAATATGAGATTTCCAGGAGCGCCGCTGATGGGTAACTGGGAGAGGGTCAGGCAGGACACGGGGTCGCGAGCTCATGGGACGTACGCAACTACGTATCTACAACGAGAAAAGGAAAGCGACATAAAGAGAGAGAGAGAGAGAGAGAGAGAGAGAGAGAGAGAGAGAGAGAGAGAGAGCAGAGGACATTATTGGATTCTGAGCATTCCCGGAGTTATTAAAATTCGAAGCCAGCCGCGAGGAACATAGCGGTGCAGGGGAAGTGAAAGGATCCGGACAGAGTACGAAAAGCCACCCCGTCGTGAAAGAGGGGTAAGACGCTTCCATGAGAATATTAAACTCCCAATACCCGGCTGCCCCTCTTTTAAGAAAGGTCCTCCGTTACCTCGGGCATAACAGCTTGTTCGCCCGCGCGACCGACTAACCACGAAAAAGAGAATAAGAAATGGGGAGATTGCGTCGGAGACGAGACACTTAACAGGGTAGAAAGTTAGCTGGGGATCGGTCGAGATGGATACTCGCAATTCCCGCAAATATGTTGCTTGTTACGGCCACGAGCTTGCGAGTTCGTTAAATTTAATTTACGTTGAACGAAATTAGTAGTCGACGAATTTCTTTTAATTAAAAGTTTTCTGCGATATGATAATCCTACCACTTCGTTCTATCTGTATTTTAAAGCAAGACTTAATAAAATAAAATGCAGCTTTAGTCATGAGTACAAAGCACCCTCAATTTATTGCATTGTAAAAGGCGAAATCCAAAGGAAAACTAACAATACTTAAAAATTTTTATAAAAATAATGATTATTTTTCAATAAAACTGTTTTTTCCATTTATTTTTCGTGAGATATAGAATGTTTACGTCAATTTGTGGAGACGCTTTATACTTTTGATCGTGGCTGCACGATTGACGTCAAATTATATTTTTTAAAAATTAAAATTTTACTATTTAGTTTATTCAATGTTCATCTGAAAAACAATGTTCACCGTGAAAAATTAAGGTACTAACGAAGTCATTTATCAGTTATTATGTCTTATATATATCGTGTAATTTGTTCATAAATCTATCAAAGTTATTATTACATTAACTCGATATATTTATTATTGAAGTAACTATCGCAAATCGATCGCATTAATTTATTAAGACCTTGCAGGCTAAATCCGGCGACGTCTAATGTCCGATTCGCCGTGACCCCGCAGAGCCATTTTCCATTCGCTTTTAACGTAAACGGACTATTATCGAAAAGAGACGATCGATCATCCGAGCCAATAACAAATGTCCCCGTCGAAAGTATAGCTCTCTCGATGTCGCGGAAAGCACAAAAGACGACGGCGAATTTTCAAGAGGGTCTGCCAAAGGGATGTTCAGGGATTCACCTTCGCGAATTCGTACAGGGTGGGGCCAATGTAGATTTCATCCACGGCTATCACGATCGCATGTGAGCAAATATAGAGATCCTCGACGTAATCTGCGTAATCGCCGGATGACGTCGTTCATCGATCATGTCGCGACAATAAACCTAATATGATTTAGCGCGCTGAGCAATATGGCCGGAGACGAGAGTTGACCGTGCTCGAGTCGTGCACGTGATTATCCGGCGGTTCCATTATTTCGAAAACATATTGTACACGTGTGCCATTGTGCGGCAAACGATCGCTGTCAATTGTCATTTATATGCGATACGTTTACCCGGGTCTACGTAGAATCCGTTATAGTCATCCGTTAGTCGCACTTAGCCTTCGTGACGATGCGGCACAATCATACGCACAATCATATATAAATTACCGTTAATAATTATTATTAACAATATACACACATAATATCACGTGCTTTGAACGTTCAATTACATGTATGTTAAATTATTAAGTGTTGAGAAATATAATCGCGTATATAAATACGCGAGAGATTAGTTAAATACATAAAATTATTGGTGTCAACTTGTACGTTTATAACATGGTGAATTCTTATGGAAAAGTTTCTTTTTAGGATATACGTTTCTAACAAAATTCTTTTTTTATAACCTTTCAATAAGTAATTCGTGATGCGAAGCTGATTGCAGCCTCGGGTTATACATATCTTTCATGCAACGCGATGAAATGTCGAATGAATTTTATAAATGGCAAGGATAGGAGAACCCATGATCGACGAACGCGCAAATTTTAAATTATGTGGACTCAGTTGAAAGCTTTGATCCTTTGGAAGTAATTCATGTTATTCTCTGCACCCTCTTTTATATTTTTCAACTCTTATTCATCGAAAACCAATTGATTGATTGCACTGTGCTTATAAAATCAGAATCTGATAAAAATTGGAATGATATAAATAAATAGAGAAAGAAAGAATTAAATATGATAGAAAAAAGAAACATTTTATACATTAATTATTACAGAAAAGAAAAGTATATAATCAAATAATAATAATAATTGTTATTATTCTATGTACATACATATTAAAATTCTTTACAAGAAATTAAAAAGCAAAGAAATGTTTCAATGAAAAAGATTAAGACTAAAAGTAATTAAAGAGAAATTAATTGTCCTCCTATCGCGAAAAAGTGGGAAAATACAATATCTTCGTTAAGCTAATTTCCTCGTGAAAAAAGACTGTGCCTTGCATAAATAAATTTCACCCCACACAAAGCCGAGCATACGTGCAAATAAAACCGCCGGGATTACGGACTGTAAACGGGAAAAACGAAAGGCGGACGAACCCTCGCGCGAGCGTTTGATTTTTGGGCTGGCATTGCTGCCTGTCGGCCCGGAAGAAAAGCCTTTAGAGAGTTTTTCCGCCTGGCAGGACCGACCAAATATTCGTCGTCCTCGAACGAGAGATGGCGAACCTATCCAATCCGATGTTTCATTTCCATGATTGCTATTTTAAATAATTGCATCCTTCTATAACCCATCCTTCCACCCCCTCGCCAATCGGCTTGTACAAAATATGTCGCTGTGAAACCCTTTACCATCCACGCGCCGTCAGGTTCGGATATATAATTCGTGATTTTTAATTAAATGCGTTTGAAAATGTTAGCAAACCATTGCACTTCCAACGATTAATTTATCGAAATCCCGACTGTTGCTTTTTATCGACAATATTTTTACTTTTAAATAGAGAGTACAAAAAGTGTGATATATATATTCCAGGTGTTTACATTATTTACACAGACAGAATTTTTTCTTAGAATTTACCTTGAAAATATGACAGTCGTGGGACAACATTTCGTAGAATTTCAATGTAAATCTCTCTCATTCATTAATAAAACTACAATAAAGGATAAAATAAGTTTGATCAATTTTACTGAAGTACATGATAAAAATCTTTAAAATATTATATCGTACTACAATTATCATATTTTCAGGGTAAATTATAAAAGATACTATTTATCATAATTATCAACTGTTTCAAAACTGATGTGATCATAAAATTCTTTAAACTACTTATAAATTAAAATAAAGAAAAAATATTATTTGCAACGTTTCGTAAATTAGAAGCTGGGTTTTTGCGAGGGGTCTTCCGGATCAGAGTGCGCGACGAGGTCGGCCATTAGACATTTTTTAACAAGCTGTCGCAGGGGGAGAATATCATGTTTCTGTAAAGCCAGGCATCTCTCTCTGGCCTAGCCCTTCGGTCAAACTTCCCCTTGAACTTTAGTCAGCACACCCCTGTAAACGATCGATCGTCTTCGTAACGTCGCCCTTCATTGTTTCCGACACCCCGGTGCCAGCGGCAGGAAAAAATTTACATCACCGTTCATTTTCGTAGTACCCTCTTAGCTCAGGGTAAACTCGGAGCGCGGTGCGATGATACGAAGCAAAGGATAAAACTTCATCAAAAGCGACAGCTGATTCGAAAA